CAGGATGCAGCCCCATCTTTTTTTCTGCTTTTTCATATGGCTTGTGCCAGAATTCCCTTCTTTTTTCTTTGACCAAGTGGTCATGGACACTTAAGGACATTTAAAGGTGCTTATGAATGCTCTTTCTGCTGCTTATAATAATGCTTTTGATATGGGTACCATGGCTTGTACACCGCAAACACTGTCTCTAAACATGGCTTTTCAGAACAACAGTCTCTGTTTTGTTGTCACAAACCCATCTTTGGTGGGGCCTCTTTAAAGACAGAAAGGGGATTATTTTTTTACTACCACCTCTGAAAGGAATGATCAGCATGGAATTGTCCAGGAAAATTTTAACTATGCTCTGTATAGCAAAACGTAAAGATGAAGCTGCCTCTATAAAGGAGCCAGCTCTTGTGAAAGTGGTATCATGAAGCTTGTCATAAGAGTAATAACCTGCCCTCAGGGGAGGTTGTAGCAGGTTGATGCTCTTTGAAAAACTTCTTCACACAAGTGAATTTTGAAAAACTTGATTTTTGAGCTTTTTTTAGTAGACATTCTCACAAATAAGTTCTTTATTAAGACGGCACAAGTGAGCTATATGAGAAGCCCTTTCAAAAACCATTCCTGCAGATACCAGGATAACTTATCTAGTGGGTTAGCTTAAATTTGCAGCATAGGGCATGTTGTAGTACTCATTGAAAATGTTTTTAATCAATGTAACAGTGTTTGCTTTGATAAGTCACTCTTGTCTGACAGGATTATAACCACAAATTTGTCATTTGGAATTGAGCACCAATCTGGATGCCAGGCTTCCATTTGATTTAGATTAGTAGTTTTAGGTAAACCTAGAACGTATAAATATATATATATATATTTATGATACATATGTATTATATATATATATATCTTAATCAGAAGTTCTAAAAGGAACCAAACAGATTGACTCTTTTACTCCTTTGTCAACAAGTAGGCCAGTTAGTCCCATGTGCTCATGCTTTTTGTGCTCAGCTAAGAAAAAAGTTCAGATGTCATTTTCTCCCTTCAGTAAATAATGTTCTTTTTAGTGCAGGGTAAGAGGGATTGTTTGAGGTTGCTCTGAGGTGGGGCATAGCATTATCTGTGGGGCTGGGTGGTTTGTGTTTTTTGCACCTGCACAGTAAAGACCGTTTCCGTATTAAATGGGGGGTAGTTGCCAAGTCTTCGTTCTGCTGACCCGCCGTGCTGTGAAAGGCTGCCTGCCATGTCCTGTGGAATATGCAGTAAAGCCACATGGAATTAGTTTTGGTCCTGAAAGTGAGTCAAATCGGCATTTTCATGATTCTGCAATTGCTTTCTTTTAACTTTTCCTCATGAGAAAACCATTTTCAAATGAGCAAGACAGGCGAAGAAAGCCCTGTAATGTTCGTATGGCAAATGCAGTGTGGTTTTTAGGCACATACTTAATATCTCATGTGGCTTCAGTTTTTAAGCCAAGCGCTGAGCTGTTCTGCTCAGGTTTTGTGGTAGGTTCATTCTTTTGTCAGCCTGGGTTGGCACTGAGGAGGAAGAGGTAAAAATGACAATCTACCCTCTTCAGTCAACTTGGCACAGGGCAGCACCTTTTCAAAAGTCTGTGAAACAAGTGTGGATGAGAAGACTGCTGCATGTGTGGGTGACTGCCTGGGCCTGTGTAATACTAAAATAACACAAATTCCTTTTTATAGAAATCTTTATGGAGCCTAGATATTTCTGTACTTGAGACAACCTGCCTGAAGGTGGACACCTCTGATGCTTATGATCTGTAGACTGATTTTTTTTTTGATGCACATTAACTGTTGTCCTCTTTTCATCCGTATTGTATGGCAAAAGTTTTTTTTTTTTTTTCATTTTTTTAAATAGTGATATTATTGGAAGAAATAAGTTTCTGCAACAGAAACTTCTTTATTTTTCCCAGATCTATTTGGCCTCTCTTTATGGTTTTCTGTCATCTAGAGCCGCTTGATGAAAACAACAGGGAGGGAATCACAGGATACTCGATCATTAAGCTTGTGTGTCAGAGTGTAAGGCCACCTGGGAGCAGTGTTATGGGAAGTTTGCTTTTGAAAGGTTTCCTGATTTAAGTGAGAGAGGAAAAAAAAACTTTCAATCTCCATTTGTGAGCAAAAACTTTATTTAAAAATGTTAGAGAAGTGGCGAGATGCTTAGTGCTTCTTGTGTGATGTGATTTTTGTCGTAGCCTTAAGCAAACCGGTAAATATAAAACCTTTCAAATTAGATCCAGAGTCCAAAAAGAGAAGCAGCTTGGAGGGGGGAGGAAAAAATTAAAAAGTAGTCTTTTTAGGAAAAGAAGGAAGTAGGTGAACAGTGTAATTGGAAGAGTTTTACTTTTTAATATAAATCAATGTAAGTGCTGTCAGGAGTTGAATAGTGAGAGAAAAATTCCTTCTCATTGAAATGTGATGCCAAAGCTTGAAGTGTTTCTCAGACTTTCGAATGTGCCTAATCTTGAGTGGAACAGAAAATGGGCTTTCAGAAACACCAGAAAAGGTTTTGCTGATAAATCTAGACTTTCCAGCACATAGAACTAGTAATTAAGGTGATATTCCAAAATTTAATAGCATATTCAAACACCGAGGCAGATGCCTGAATTTAACATAAAAGTGGCAGCTATTTATGGTGTTGTTTTTGCCTTCAGTTGGCAAGAGGCAATTTAAAGGGAATGGAAGTGTTTTGGACTTGCATAAACATCTCCAACTCGGGTCTTTTAAATTATTATGGTAGCCCAGAAGTGGATGCTGGAATCCAAGGAGTTGCACTGCAGTGTTAAAGCTGTTTTTTTCTTTTCAGGGGGGAAAAAGGTGTTTTTTGTGTTACTACTTTTATGCCTAGAGAAAAACATCTTTTTCAAATTGCTGTTGGGGTACAGAGGGGCAAGGCAGTTAAGAGAAATGAGGTCTTTGCCATTTGGTCAATGAAGCTAAGCGAGAGAAGGAAGAAGAATTAAGCCCTCCAGCAAGGCACCTAATATTCTGATGTGTATCGGATAGTGCATGCCAGTCAAATTTACATGAGATAGAAAAGGTGTTTCAAAGTCTTAGAGTAAATTGTGCGAATTTGGCATCTGCAGCTGACTTGTGGGTTACAACTGCTGGAGTGTGGGCGCACTCTCTTTTATCTAAGCGCTTTGGAAACCATTCAGCAAAATAGTGAGAAATGTTATATAGGACATGTTTAAAATGGAGCAAGTTAGTATGGGATAAAATTCAAGTCCCTGTCAGTCAAAGTATTTTGTTTTGCCAGCTGTTGCAGCTCCAACTTGTTTGGTAGGAAGCTACCTGAGCTAAAGTAGCCCATCTTGCTTCTCTTGGAGGGGATTTCTTGCGGTGTCGGGAAGTGTCCTCACACCTCACAAGTGCTTGACCATAACGTTAACTGGTAATAGATTGACTAATCCTTAGTGTCATTGAAATCAAACCTTTTGCACCAAGTGATTGAAGGTGTGCCTTGTGTGAAAGGCTTGAGTGTTGTTTTGGTTTGGTTTCTGAAACAATGTGGATAACTCATCTCTTTTGAAATAACCTACTTCTCTCTCCGATCAATTGAAGTAAGAAATGCTTTTACTGCCTGACCTTTGCTAAGCTTTTAGAGAGAACTGTGAAATTGTTGTAACTTGCATCAGGAGTAATTACTGAATACTTCAGCACTGCAATGCTATGACTTAGTTTTAGTTCAACTGATAATAACAGTGGAGCGTAGTTTACCTTGGCTTTTAACCCAGATTTCCACGCTATTAACCTCTTACCCTTGGCCTTTTTTTTAATCAGGAAGCTGAACTCTGACCTATTAACAGAGCTTGTTATTTGTAATTTATCATGAATCTTAAAGGCTGAAGAGAAAATACGCTTGATGCAGGAATATGCCTCATACAAAGATGATAGGGAACAGCTTAGTACCTTTCTTGCTGTTGAATTATCTTTTATTTGCATTTGTGCTGAAACGTGTATTGTGAGTGTAGCTGTACCTGCACTGTTAAATGAGTGCTGCCCAGTGCTTGGAATCAAAATTTAGTGTTTGAATTTAAACATAACATTCAAGACTTTGGTTTCAGATACTTGCCTTGAGTTTTGTTGTTGTTGTTGTTTGTAAGCTTTGCACTGTTGGGTTCATATGTGATTAGGGAAGGATAACAGAAGTTGTATCGATCACCTTTGATGGAAAAGATGAGTATGAAAAGGGAGTAGGTTTGTTCCCGCTTCCTAGGGGTTTTTTAATTGAATGATATGGGGTAAAATCCTGGTCCCTCAAAAGTTAGCTGGGTCAGTTTGTGCTTATCTGTTGAATTCAGTACAATTAACTGTTTCCTGCAGACCAGGTAGGTGATACAAACTGCTTTTCACAGAGGTGGAGCCTCCTTGGTGTGAGTGAGAGCACAGAAACAGAGGGGAGTGATCTGTCTCTATGGTTAGCCCGGTCTTTTTGTCTCAGCACATTCTCCTTTCTTTGCACTGAAGTCTGAGTCAGCAAAAGCTGTTAATAAAAATTCTGTTTACAATTCACGGGGATTTGTGGATGAACAATAGGTGTCCTGGCTAGGACAGGGAGTATTTCATGAATTTGGGCTTGAAACATCAAATATTTCTTTGAGTGTAATGCTGATTTTTTTTTTTTAAACAGGTTTTCTTGTCTCTTGTTTCACATCTTTGCTTAGCAGTGGCTTTTCATTGTCAGGCTCAAATTTGTTATCTAAAGCTTCCTACTTGGATGCCTCTGTTGTAAGCTGTCTAATGAGTAGAAATGAGGGAGGCAGTTATAAGCATCAAGACAAGATGACCACATCAGTCTCTGATGTGCTGACACAGCAAGCAATAGTCTTTTTATATGAGTGTTTCCACTTAGATATATGGTAAAACCACATGTAAAAAGTCACTCAGAACCTGAACTGCAACCTGACTTTACTTCTCTCTAGCAGAGAAGGGGGGAGGTGTGTGTATGCATATGTGTATTAACATAGATATGTACAGAGTTACACCTATGTGAATATGTACTTACCATCAGATATCTTTTTCTTAAAGATCTGGACCTTGGTCGTTGGTTACCTGCTGATGATTTCCTTCAAGTGGAATCTAAGCACAGAGCGTTACTTGAAAGCCATCTCGGTACCTGTGTGGATTATGCTGCTCTTTCACTTAGGTGAGTAACATTGCTAGTGTTCATGAGCAGCAATGCTCTTGTCTACTGTGATTCTGTCATCCTGCAAGCAAAGCCACGTACTGGCTCCTTTTCTAAATTATTTTAGCGGTCTCAGCTGAGGGGCAAGCTCTCTTTCTGCTCAGTAACTTGGGCTGCATGTGGCCAGCAGGGATTTCTTCTTCATTATGCAGCAATAAATGTTGTTGGTGGAAAGCTGGTAAGATGCAAGTGTTGGAGTATGGATTGGGAAGGGCAGCAAGGAGCTGAGCAGCAGCATCTGCCTTGCACTTCTGTCACCTGCTTTGCACTTTCTGTGGCTTCTTTTTATTTTGCACTTGCAGTAGAAGATCTCTTGCCAACTAGTTGGAGGGGAAGGACAGGGCTCACATGGGAATGGTTTTAGGCTTTCTTCTAAATACTTCGAACTTTTTTGAAAACCTGTCAACTAACTAGGCTAAAGCTGTGCATTAAAGTGCATTTAATAGAAGTAATAGGAGGAAAAAAAGAAATCAACAAGCATGTCAATATGATGATACCAACAATACCACGTAAGTTTACTGTTAGTCTTTATGATCTCTCTGTACAAATATACGGTTTCACTAACTTTCTAGTATCAAGTTTCTTGCATTTAATATAAACATTAGATTATCGTAATCGAAGTTCCATTGAATTTCCCATGGTGATGCAAATAAGTCAGATACAGTGTAAAATTTCTGAGCTTATTCAGTGATTTATTTTTGCTTTAGCAGTAGGTTGCAAGGGTTGTTCTAAGCACACGTGGGCACTTCTCTGAAGCTTTAGGCTGCACGTAGTGGCTTTGCCTTTGCTCACATTTTCAGTTTTACACTGGCTTGAAGTACTAGCCGAAAAGCCCCAAATAAACAAGGCCATGCTTGATGGAACTCTGTAGAGATTTAATTTAAATCTGATTTTTTTGAGAGCTTTACATGCTTCTGATTTTCTAAAATGTTTTTATTTTATGTAGAACCTAATATAATTTTGCATGTTTTAAAAACTCTAAGGCATGCCAGCATAGATTAAAGTCACTGAAGATGTAACAATGTTTATTTACAGAGGTAGTAGTTCACCTTCTGTTTTTTCACCTCCTCTTTTCCTTTGTTTGCTTTAGGAAACTTAGTTTTTGCCTACTTCTTGCCTGAGGTAGTGCCTTTCTTAGTTTTGCTATATGCTTCTAGTGGCATTTTTTTATTGAAAGAATTTTCTTTTTCAGCTTCTGTGGCTGGTTCCTGGAAAATTCCTGTGTTTCTGGTTATAGTCATTCTGATGACTGTAGGCACATTGCATGAACAGCAGAGTGGAAAGGAGTCTTCTGGTAAGAAATGAGGTATATTTTATTATAGGAGGCAAAAGTGAAGAGAGGTCATCTGAACTGTATTATTGTAATGTAATACCATATAGTTTGCAAGAATTTTCTGTATGGAGTTTTAGGCTGTTTATTCCGAAGTGGATTTTGCATGCTGAAATGAATCTTTGGTTCTTTATAGAAAAATCTTTGGAATAAACTGTTTGGTTGCCATAGAATAGTGACTCTCTCAACTACAAAGTTTAAAATATGTTTTGATTATATCTTTTGATTATATATTTATGCATAGAGAAACTTATACAAATTTTCAAGCGTGAAGAACATCTGGGAGTTTGGAATTGCAATCTAATTTTGAAAGAAATAAGCAGTATGGATTTAATAGCTCCTAAAATATTGAGTATGTGATAACTTAGTCTGCTTCATCCACTCAGTAAATTCCTTCTACAATTATTTGTGGTTAGGATGCAAGTTTCTTAACTTTAAGTGCTTGGGCTTTGCTAAAACTAGCTTTCTTTTGTTGCGGATGGGTTTTGTATAAAAACAGCAACCACGAAGTCCTTTCTATTACTACTTTAATTATGATTTTTGGGGAGCTTTCTTCCTATCATACTGCTTTGGTGTTTCTGAAAGTTATTACAGTCTTGGTTAGTAAAACTGATCACCTGGTATAGAGATTTTGGATTAACCAAACTGCGGGTGAAATGTCAGCTACATTTCACTAGCAAGGAAAGGCTGAGTCACTGTCTTTATGTGCTGACATTGTAATGTTAAAACTAGCAGCATTCATGACCATTCAAACATGCTGACTGTGTGGGAAGGCTTATTTAAAAACTAACAATATATATCCATAAATATTGTATTGACAACATCAGTGAATATATGAAGCAACAAATGTGTATTATAAGACTTGCGCTGTTCTTTCTTTATATACACGAGTATGTTTTGCAGGGGCAGAACTTCCCGGTCAGATGATTTCCATTGCTGCTTCAACAATTGCCATGGCAATATCAATTACAGAAGATGAATCAAAAAAACCTTCCTCACAACCCTCAGGTGACTGAATACTCTGTAAGAAAACATTTGAATTTGTTCTAAAGGCATGAATAAGAGGGAATTAAGAACATATTTCAAAATAGTCCCTCTCCTCTTCATCTTTTTCCAAAATAATGTGTTGCACTTATCCAAGGTACTTGGTATATGTGCTTTTAAAAATAGTAAAAGAGCAATCATATGGAAGTTCTCTTTCATACAGGAGGCCTGACTAGAAGTTTGTGGCAGTGTTGTCTTGTGGGTTTTTTTGTTGTTTGTTTTTGTTTTGCCTGCTTGTTTTTATTAGTGAGGGCAATTTTCCCTCTTTATTGTTTTTATTTTCCCTGCACTTCCCTTGATTGGTCGGCACTAACAAGATGCAAGTGGGCTGCCTGATGAGGTAGAGTCCTGTTGGCAAAGCTCAGTTCCAGCAGGGCTCCTCCCCTGCTGGGCTCACTTCCCAGCTCCAGGACTAAGTTACCTTCCACACACTCCACGAGCCTCCTGGGCTGTTGTGTTTTGAAACAGCCTCCTGGGCTGTTTCCTCTCTGCAGTGTTGTATTGCCAACACTAGTGTCCAGCAGGACCTGGAGCTACGGTAAATCAAGATTCTGGGATTCTGGTAGTCCATCTTCCTCACTTGCATGAATGAGTTGAATGAGTTACTGGTGCAATGATATAAAAAGCTCATCCATAAGAAGCTTTAATGAGGTAGACTTGCAAAGTTTTTTTTTTTCCTTTTTTTTTTCTTTTTGAAAAAAAAGAAAGTAGTCAGGTTCTCCAGACAAGAAATTTATACTGGACATAGTTGGGTTTTTTTTTCTTTTTTGCTGGAAACCACCTTAATGCCTTCATTTTTTAACCTGTACATTCTCATTTTTGAATTAAAATTTATGTTTTCTAAGCTATAAATGAGAGAACAACAACTTAGGTCAGCCATTAACCTAGTGAATTAGGTTAATCTGGCAAGCAATTTAACATCACAATGTGAATGCTGTATTTGCAGTGTAAGCATTCAGGAACAGAAGGAGTATACTAAAAAATTAATGAGATGGAAGCATCCTCTTCAAACTATCTCTTTTTTTTTTTTTCTTTAAATGAACTTTGAGCATGTTTGAGACCTTAAATTGAAGACAAATCAAAGATCTACTTTAACACTTCACACTGCTTTTGAAAATGAGATCTACTCTGGCTTTGAGTTACGATTGTTTGAAAAAGTATATTCAGTTCCTCTAATTTTGACAGTGGGAGGAGGCCTGTAAGAATGCAGCATCTCTTCTTTCCTCCTCTTCCTTCCACTGTCAGAGCTGCCTGCCATGGCGTTGTGTGATGTAGGAGAGCTTGCACAGGCCTGTTCTAGTTGTTTCAAAATTCAGGTTACTGGCAAGGCTACCCTGTCTTTTTAGCGAAACTACCATGAATGTAAATATTCTGTTCTGTATGATAACTCCCACCTATTCCACTGCCATTTGTTTTTTTTTTTTTTT